AGGGGAAGGGAATATACGGTTTTCGGCTGCCATGTGGCTATTTCGCCAGGATATGAGTTTTATATTATTTTTGTTAATTTTATAATGTTAAACTTTAATAATAACAAATAATTGTTGAGAACTGATTATCGAGAACTGCTTATCAAAGTTCGCATCGTTGATCAGTTGTTAAATTCGACCACCATTGTTTGGACTTAATGAACAATGGCATTTTTTGGCATTGGCAAAGACGAAAACATTTTGTAACTGTCTCTCAGATGATGCACATCGTACTGCATGCTAGTGCTAGTTAAACAAGTGATGTCAACAAATCAGCTACTCAGATAATTTAGGTAATTTATTTATTTAATAAATACATAAATTTTCTTCAAGTTAGCAGAAAGTACTGGAATGATGTGCAAAAATCATTCGATCATATTACTCAAAATTTCCCATATAGTAATATTTCCAAAAATGATCTTTTTGATGAGGTATCATTATTAAAAATATATATTGATAAGGAAAAGGTTAAATCTTGGGCATCAGCAAAAATCACAATAGAGAACAAATGCTTAGAAATATTTCATCATTTTGAAACAAACCATGTTCCATACAATAATGCACTAAAAATTGTGGAATGCGTGCTGTCCTTACCAGGAACTAATGCTGCGACTGAATGCGTTTTGTCTACGGTAAATAAAGTGTGGACATCAGAAAATTCACAATTAAGTGTTGAGACTTTGAAAGCCATTTTATGTGTGGGATATAATTTAACAAATTCTTGTGAAAATTTTCATGCCCTTTTAAACAACGACAGCAAGCTACTAAAAAAATTCACTCAAATGAGAAATATGCCAAAGAATAAAATAATACTATACATAATTTTAATGTATTATATTTGTAAATTGTACTTATGTTGAAATTTAAAAAATACATCACAATACTATTTTTGCATTCTATGAAAATTTTTGTTGCTCCATATAGACCAAATTTTTAATCAAGAATCCACCCCCCCCCATGGTGTCCCACTTTACCAATGTTAAAATCTGGTCACCTTACCATAAATGCCTCTTCAGACTCAGCGACTTGCAATGATGCAGAATGCAGAAAGATCACAGGCCCGTGGATGCAAAATCCTATGCATCCAATCGTGGTGGCTGTGGCAGGAATCAAGGTCAGCCAGAAGGAAGGTGATGACAGAGAGAGGGGGAGGTTCCCAGTCTCCTCCTTATGAGAAGGCCACGCCCACAAGGAGGCACCATTGGACTGTGACCTGATTGACAGGTTGAAAACCACCCCTACACTCTGCTCTAGCTTCAAGTTGACAGGAAAGTAGGTTACTATCACAGTTGATTTGCTCGAGTAAACTTTGCAGTTATTGTGTCAATCATTTGCATTTAAAGTGTCCAACATGATGGCCTTTTCTGGCTATGGGTCTTTCTTGGTGATGCATCAGTGATTCTTGCTTGCAAATCCTCATGTAATAAAAAAAAAAATCTTTCTATTGGCGGCTCATACAATCCTTTTTGGGGTTTTTAAAAAAAATCATTTTATTGGGTGCTCATACAACTCTTATCACAATCCATACATACATCCATTATGTCAAGCACATTTGTTGCCATCATCATTCTCAAAACATTTGCTTTCTGCTTGAGCCCTTGGTATCAGCTCCTCATTTTCCCCCCTCCCTCCTCGCTCCCTCAACCCTCATGAACCCTTGATAATTTATAAATTATGATTATTTTGTCATATTTTACACTGTCCGACGTCTCCCTTCACCCACTTTTCTGTTGTCCATCCGCCAGGGAGGAGGTTATATGTAGATCCTTGTAATCGGTTCCCCCTTTCCAACCCACCCTCCCTCCACCCTCCTGGTATCCCCAGTCTCAGCACTGGTCCTGAGGGATTCATCTGTCCTGGATTCCCTGTGTTTCCAGTTCCCATCTGTACCAGTGTACATCCCCTGGTCTAGCCAGATTTGTAAGGTAGAATTAGGATCATGATAGTGGGGGTGCGAGGGGGGGGGGGAAGAGGGGAGAAGCATTTAGTAACTAAAGGAAATTTGTATGTTTCATTGTTGCTACACTGCACCCTGACTGGCTCATCTCCTCCCCACGACCGTTCTGTGAGGGGATGTTCAGTTGCCTAGAGATGGATATTGGGTCCCTAATCTGCACTCCCTGTCATTCACAATGATTAGATTTTTTTGTTCTTTGATGCCTGATACCTGATCCTTTTGACATCTCGTGATCACACAGGATGGATCAGCAAGGATCTTTTGTAGGGTTGGGTTTCTTCTAATATATTCTTTGAGTTTTTCCTTGTCTGGGAAGACTCTTACCCTGTTTCCCGGAAAATAAGACACTGTTTTATATTAATTTTTGCTCCCAAAGATGCGCTAGGTCTTATTTTCAGGGATGTCTTATTTTTCATTGAAGAAGAATACAGTACACATTTATTGTTTATTGTTTTATTAAAAGAGACCTCACACTTCCTGTCTGCTCCGGCTGCACTGACGCCAACAGTAAACTGCACAGTGGCACCCGCTGCTACAGTCCAGAGTCATGGTAGCTTCGGGAAGCCTTATTTTGGGGGAGGTCTTATTTTCTGGGTGACGCCTTATATTTCAGCGAGAGGCAAAACTGTAAGTAGGTCTTATTATCGGGGAATGTCTTACTTTTGGGGAAACAGGGAACTTCTCCATCTATCTTGATCGATAAATTGGCTGGGTAGAGTATTCTTGATTTTGCGTTGTTTTCCTTCAATTTCTGGAGTATGTTACTCCACTCTCCTTCATAGTTTCTGCTGATAGGTCTGAGCATATTCTTATTTGGGAACATTTATATGTGATTGCTTGTTTTTCCCTAGCTGCTTTCATGATTTTCTCCTTTTCCTCAAAGTTGGATAGTTTAACTCTTATGTGCCTTGGTGACTTCTTCTTGGGATTCAGTCTAGCTGGGGTTCTTTCAACCTCCTGACTGGTTGCCTGGTTTTCATTCATTAATCTGGGGAAACTTTCCTCCAAGAATTCTCTCCCTATTGTTGCAGATGACTTCTTTGTTGTGTCTTCCTCCGGTAATCCAATAATTCTAATGTTGTTCCTCTTCATAGCATCAGACATACTGTAGCTCTTAGGTTTTCTTCAGCTTCTCTGATGATATTATTAGATTTTTGTTCGCGTTTGTTAAAGCCTGTTTGGGTGTCCTCCAAGTCACTGGTGTGGTTCTGTGCTTCCTCCAGTCGATTCTCTAGGTCCGTGAGTCGGCTACTGGTTTTTGTTATCTCCTCTTTAAGCTCTTGTATTTCCCTTTGCTGTATGGACTTTATCTCCTCTATTATTTCACCCCTTTTCTGTATTGTTTCCCTCATATCCTGTTTGACTGAAAGCAGCATTCTGAAAATTTCATTCTGTGGCAGATCAATGTCCACATCTCCTTTGCACATCATTAGGTTCAGGACATCTTCTGCCATTGCCTTTTGTTTCTCCTGTTTTTTTCGTTGAGGTCATTGGTGCTGATTGCTGTTTGTGTTGCATTGTTTTAGAGGAGCCAGGTAACATTTTCCAGGGAGTCGAAGAACACTGGTTCTCTCTGGAAGACTCGTAGGAATGCTTCTTCGAACTGCCCGCAGCTAATTTCACTATGGATTTAGCCTACCATTTTTTCCTCCTATGGCTTCACTCTCAAGGGGAGAACCCCAGAAGGCCGGTGGGTTGCCTGCTTTGGTGTAGAACACCGCGGACGGTGGGCAGAATTGCCCTGGCCAGTTAAATCACTGAGGAGGTTGGTTAGAGATTCCTGAAGCAGCGTGGAACATTGGTGAGTGTTGACCAAGCTGCCTTAGGCCATGTGAGGCACTAAGGTAGGCAGGAGGAAGTTCCCTCAGTGACATGGGACAGCAGAGGAAATTAGGAGCTACCCTAGCCACACAGGCAGGAATTCCC